TTAAATGAACATCATGAACATTGGCACAATCTCTATGGTAATGCGCAAATGCAGGACACTGATGGCTCGACCTTTTGGAAGAAACGTCAAGGAGAACTTTTTATCTACATGCACCGACAGATGGTGGCGAGGTAAGGATACATAAGAACTTTGATTTCGTTTGTTGTTTTAATGTTTGAAGATGTCAATGTGATCCTTTCATTTAATTTAGATACGAAGCTGAACGCCTTTCGAACGGTTTGCCGCAAGTCAAAGAATATAGTGATTATACCGAAGTAATACAAGAACATTATTATCCCGATGACGATTTAAGCGCTACGAGATCTGGTTCAGTCATCACATTTTCCGCTCGTGAATCTGGGGGCGTGCTAAAAGATGGTATGAATATTGATAAATTACTTTCTTTAGTCGCGAATTTTAACGCGAATAATTGTATCAAAAAAAAAAACTAGGATTAAGTTCAACTGGTCAGGACGGCTCTGTCAGAGAGGGTACCAAAGTTACAGATTTGGCAAATAACCGCGACTTATTGGTAAGAACCATCGAGCAAGGTTATTTTGAAGATGTCTCAGGTTCCAAGTCCATTAAGACGGCAGACAATCTTGATCTGTTGGCAGTTGCCATTGAAATGGGAATTACGCAAAGGACTTATCAAAATTATTCGGCGGATGTTTGGGGTAGCAAATACCCGTCGTTCCATAATGATGGGCACATTTTGATTAGTCAAATCGGGATCAGTGAGTATGAACGAAATTGTAAACTGCTTTTTATTTTCTTCCTTTTTTAACCCGATCAACGCAAATTAGCCGATTCATCACAACCTTGGGGTGTGATGAGCAACAACGCGGTCGCATCTCGAGACCCAATGTTCTACCGTTGGCATACATATGTTGACAATCTATTCACGAAGTTCCAACACAAACTTGGACCCAATCATTTTAGACCTGACGATGTACCTGTGAGAATACCACATAATGGCATATTCTTTGTATTTAAGGATAAAATTGCAAATGCTACTCCTGCAAATATTGCGACGGTGGCTTCTCAATTTGCGGCTACCATTAAAGACAAAGATCCACATAACGCGACAAATATCTTGGAGACTAAGATGAAAATAAGAGACTACGAATGGAGAGAAGGTGGAGAAGATGATGGGGAAATTACAGACATCTCGAAAATTGAATATCTATTTCCAAGGGAATGGTATTATTTCTTCCGTGTGGAAAATCCCACCTCTCAGGTAACTAATAGAAATGCTTCTTGAATTCCAAAAAATTTTAACATCCTCGAGTTCAATATCAAACAAATTATATCTTTTACTTTTCAGGATGTGAATGTTACATTCCGAGTATTTATGGTTCCCGAAGCATTCAAGAATAATCACGCTCGTTATATTGAACTTGACAAATTCCAACAAGTCATTCCTGCCAAAAAAACTACAGTTATTGCACGTGATTGTGATAAATCATCAGTGGTGGCTCAACCGCCAAAGAAAACTGCAGATGATTTAGATGATGTCGCGGATGTTCCGGATGCGGACTACTCGGAATTCTGCGAGTGTGGATGGCCATTCCATTTAGTGTTGCCTCGTGGTACTGGTGAAGGCTTGCCGTGTAAATTAGTAGTGTTTATTAGCCCTGGTACAGATAAAGTTGATGCTGTAAAGAAATGTGGTTCTTTATCTTTCTGCGGTGCGGAGGATCCGAAGGGAGATTACCCTGATACTAGAGAAATGGGTTAGTCACATGACATATGTTGTTTATATAACTTATCCTTTGTGTACTAAGACACTGATATAAATTTTCAGGATATCCTTTCAATCGACCATTCAAGAATGGTTCTTGCGATGAGGTAATTGTCTTTCTTGCAATTTTGAATTACGCATGTGATAGTCACGTATTTACTTATTACTTGCATCCGATAGGCATTCTCTGGATTAAAATATGTCGCCACGAAAGACTTCAAAATTAAATTGGTTGGTGATTTCCCAGAATTCACCAAATAAGATACATTCGAATTTCCAATATTTCATTGAGGATTTATATTAGCAGTATTTTCTTTTTCTTTTTTTTAAAAAACAAAAAAAAAAACGTTAATAATAATTTCCCTCTGTATAATGCACATGTAATAATTATCTTGTATAAATTATTTATTAAATAAAATAAATTCCATGAATGAAGCATATCTTATGAGAAAGATATTTGTTCTCAACCTATGTTGCATATTAAAAATCTGCAGCTTACATACTTCCACATTACAACAAATAGAAACATCATGTACACACGACTTGTTAGTTTATCCTTGTTTTACTAATAAGAATTCGGTTTAGAAAAAAGGACGAAAGAAAAAAGAAGAATAATCACGCTATAAGTATTAACAAATATTTTTATATTATACCGAGAAATTTGGCTTGATGTTAAAGGCATATATTGCTAGTGCTAATCAGAGTTATATTACATTTTTCCATTCGAGGCATAGAAAATAATACTATTTGAAAATAACTATTCAATTTAAAAATAATTATAAGATAACGATTTTTTTCGAAAAAAAAAAATTATATAAATAAAATAAATAAAATATTGTAATATTTAAATAAACATAAATTCCATATTTTATAAATTTTACAAATATTCTAGAAGTAAATGTTTTAAACTGTGTATTTTTTTCCTGTTATTTTTCTTCTTAGCGATATTCCTATTTGATTTATGTAACCTCGGATTAACTACTTTAAAACATATTTAAATATATAAAAGGTATTAAGCATAAATGGAAAACCTTAGAAATTAGTATTGTTAGGGTCTCGTTGCGGCGACACGGTACACGGCGTTATTGATCTGGCACGACGGTCGGACAGGGGAATGCAAACGTGAAGCTTATTTTTTAAAATCATATTTAAAATTTATTAATTGAAAAATATTACCAACATATTCAAAATAATCTTTTTATTATATTATATTTAATCAATTTATATATTAGCTTCTTATTTAATCAATATTTTATTACTGAATATATTTTTGACAGATAATCTGATAAAATATTTTAAATAATCAATAGAGATAAAAATATTTGATAGTTAATTGATTAATTCCTCTTATTTATTACTCAAAAATTTTCTTATACGTGATTTTTTTACTCCTGAATATACGAAATATTTATTATATTAAAAATATACAGAATATTGTAAGAGGGACCGAAAAATTAGATAGATTCAACATATGTCATCCTTGCCCAATTGGGGTTTAATTGGGGCTTG